TATATATATATATATATATATATATATGGCAGTAAACGATTATATTTATATAATTATAAACTTCAATTATATTTATAAAATGAATAAATAATAGAATTATTTAAAATGAGATTTGAAGCAATCTAATAAAATATTTAGTTTACAATCACTTTAATAATCTTATAGCTTTTGCTTTATTTTACTTTTAACACATTCGCGACCGGCGATAGCCGATCAAAATGTTTACCTGAAAGCCGCATATAATTTCTGAAAGTCTGTAGCTAAATACCGCAAGGATCTGCTATTTATATGTATGTGAATATAAGAAATATTATTTCTCAGTATGATGCTTATAATCATTTGTTGTTAAAAATTAAAAAAAATTAAACATTACAAATGCATATTGAAAAAATTGGTGAAAAATTACTGCCAATATTAAAATTGATCAAGCTTCTTTATAATTCACCAAATATTTTTTGATTTGTAATTTTGTGATATGTAAGCATTATGGCTAGTAGTGGCGCCAATTTTGAAATAACGCAGGACTACGTTGCCGGTATTCGGCTGCAAAATTTGAAACGACGTAGTTCTATGTTGCCGGTATTCAGCTAAAGAATTTGAAATGAAGTAGTTCTACGTTACCGGTACCCAGCTAAAGAATTTAAAATGACATAGTTCTACGTTGTCGGTCACGAATGTGTTAACAAAGTTTTATTACGCGGAACCATATCACTATCATTCGAGAGGGGTGATGATAAAAGTGGGGAATTATCGTGAACAGATATTAACGCTTATATCGGATCGGTGCTACAGTGATTTGGTTATAGCTGATCAGATCGTTTCTCCAATATGGAGCTGTATAAGATATTACTTGTTGCAGGTATACTAGGATTTGCAAGTAGTAATGGGACTTCTAACATAGGTATGATAGATAATATTCATATAATAGTTCACTCTGTCAGCGTTTTTACTTTAATAGTTTTTATCAGTGTACAAGTGATGTGTGTGTATAGAGAAAATGTGAAAACCTTTTCAAACACTTGCATAGTCACATTCCAGATAACACAATGTCCAAAATTGGGACACAAAACGTCTGGAAGACGTTTTTAAAAGCCTTACAGTTGTTTGGGATAGTACACTATACGACGATACAGTTATCTATATAAAACTAATTACAATGCTTTGTAATAAATATATGTAGTATATAATATATATTTATTTCATATATATTGAAATATGTAAATATCTATTCATATAAAGACGAATATATATAAGTGAAGTAACACACAATAATGTGATTCAAATAAGCAAACAAATTAATAAATTAGTTGTTCAGAGCGAATGCAAAGTGTATTGTCATGCGATCAAATTAAAGACAAAATTTTAACAATGCCGTGTGAGAGCAAGTTTATAATACAGTCTACATATATATAACGAAATCGATTTTAAAGATTGGTTTCGGTTCTTTTTCGGATCTTTTTCAATGGTAACAAGTTGAGCAGTACAGTCAAGTTATAACAAAATTCGCGAAATCGAGGTCAGTAAGTGAAAACGATAAGGCGGAACGATAATGCATGCATAGATTACTAAGCAAATACATAAAAGAATAGCTGAGTTATCTGAAAATTAGCGAGTAAATAAGTTAGGACTTATTTACTCGCTAATTATTTAGGAATAAATTATTGAAGGAAGACATATATTCGATGTTAACAGATGAGAGATTTTTTATCGAAATTGGCGAAGAATGAACAAAGAAAAAATAGTTTTGCAACACTTCAGAGATAACATTGTTAAAGAGATTAAAGAGATAATAGCGTATTATAGTATTATTGCACGACCACGATATCCAGATAAAAGGGATATTTGTTCTAGATATATTCATTACAACATCTAACACAAGCTTGCAGAAATGAATTATTTGCAAGCGGCGAAAAGCATTGTACGCTTTCCCCGTTGGCGATTAATATCGAGCGGCATTGCGTTTCATGCCCTCTTTTCAGCGAATCCTTTACGTTACGCGTCAAGTGGCGAATAACACAATTGTCTCTGCGTTTTACAGAGGAGGCGGTGTCATCCTTCTCAAATGAAATCGAGCATTGGGTAAAATCGAAAGAGGAGCCTCTGTCGTTTCAGCACTCGATTAATTCACTAGCTTTCCCAGCAAGCTTGCGACATCAGAGCTGGCGTAGCTTCACCGGCGAAAGCAGCAAATCTATATGTGTAATATGTCAATCCATCCTACGATCTTTCATGAAATTCCGTAACGAAGGCATGCCAGACGAAAAAATCATATCCAATGTGATTAAACTCTGCACCGCACTGAAGATTGAGGATGAACGAGTCTGCCATGGCGCGGTGACTCTCAATGCGGTAAGTTATGTCCTTACATACAATAACGTACAAACAATAACGTAGAAATGAGAATTCAACGGAAGTATTATGCTGAAGATTTTACCGAAATTCTCCCTCAATTGACCCCATTTCATTATCATTTCGTCAATGTGCGCAATGTTCAGTTAAATTCAGTAAATTTCAGCAGTATATATTTTAACTCGATGAAAGTTACTGAAAACTTACTGAAATATATAATATTTATAATATTATTTTGAAATAATTAATATCTCAAAATAAATCATAATTTTCATCATGAAATTTAATATAATGTTGTGAAATATAATATAAATTAAAGTATAATTCTGAAGAATAAAATAAAAAAATTGTTGAAGTATCAGATATCATGAAATTTACCGAATTAAACTGAAAACATTGAGTATATTATTGAAATGGAGTGAATTGAGAGCGAAATATTTCGGCAAAATATTTTTATCGGGGTAGCGATAAACTTGACATAACAAGATCCCGTTCGATTACTGCCGTCATCAGATCCTGTTATATTAGGTGGTAAACTTAGTTCCTGCGGTTTTTTGTTTAAAAAACTCATTTATTTCGACATCAAAAGCAAAAAATACATTAATCGAAGTATTTTCCCTCGCTAGCTATACATTTTTCCCATCTTTCGGGCAACGCGTAGATTCCGCGACGATAGAACGATTGGTCTTTTGATGCAATCCATTCGTCGATCCATTTTCGCACATCCTCGTAATTTCTGAAGTGTGTATCCACCAAGCCGTGCTGCATCGACCGGAACAAATAACAGTCCGAAGGAGTGAAGCCTGGTGAATACGCTGGGTGCGGGAGAACTTCCCACTCGAGCTGCAACAGCGTTTCTTTGACGGCTTTGGCAACGTGTGGTCGAGCGTTGTCGTGCAAAAGCATGACTTTACGTCGATTGCTGGCTACTGCTGGCCTTTTTTCCAACAATGCTTCATTCAGACGGTTTAATTGTGATTGATATCGATCCCCCGTGATACTTTCGTTCGGTCTCAATAGCTCATAATAAACGACGCCGTGCATATCCCACCAAATGCAAAGCATTGCTTTGTGGCCATGAATATTTCTCTTTGGTGTGGATGTCGATGGTTGGCCAGGGTCTACCCATGATTTTCTTCGTTTAGGATTATCGAAGTATATCCATTTTTCATCGCCAGTCACTATGCGCCACAAAAAACTCTTCTTTTTCTGCCTGGCGAGCAGAGAAATAGAGATGTTTAAGCGATTCGCAATGGCATTTGCGGTTAATTCGTGTGGTACCCATTTTCCCTCCTTTTGAATTTTTCCCATTGCATGTAGACGTTTGGAAACAGCCATCGGAGTAACATTTAATGCTGCAGACAATTCTTGGAGCGTTTGAGTAGAGTTTTCGTCCAATAATGCCTGCAAATCGGTGTCTTCAAACTTTTTCGGTTGGCCTGAGCGTTCTTTATCATTGACATCAAAATCACCAATCTTAAATCGCTAAAACCATACTTGGCATGTTCTTTCCGATGGAGCATAATTGCCATAAGCTTCGAAAAGCAATTTATGAGCTGCAGCTGCAGTTTTTTTCAAGTCAAAGTAATGAAGCAGCACATGTCGAAAAAACAACTTATCGCGTTCCATATTTAATCAAAAGAAAAAATAGCACTGCTCGCTTAAATGAATCTCTTCGCACTGAATTTTATTGACAAATGTCTAATCTCTAAAATGCAGCCAGTTTCAGATGTCAAAATAAATTACACCTACAACTAACGTCAACTAACTATGAGCCGCAGGAACTAAGTTTACCACCTAATATTTCCGCTAACAAGCTGCCGACCGGATTCACAGCAGGCACTGCGCGCGAAATCCGCCTCCGCAGGTCTGGCTGTCTGGGAATATCATTGTCTGAATTCAAGTTTTCACTTACAGCCGACAATTCTGTATATAATGGACAACAAGCCGAATCTAACAGCATCCACAATCTGCGGGGTCGTGCTCGAGTCGAAATTTTGTCCACTCGACGACGAAGAGTACAACTGGATGGTGAATATCGACGACGGCCCCGGGAAGACGGTCACTGATAAAGAGAATAACAAAACCATAAATATCGTGCAAATAACGGATCTTCATTACGATCCCAAGTACGAGCCTAATGGTAACTCCGATTGTGGGGAACCGGCGTGTTGTCGTAAAGGACAGAACGGTATAAATGCGGGCACCAAGTTGGCGGGTTTCTGGGGAGATTACAACAATTGCGACACTCCATGGCATGCTGTTGTTGACGCGCTGAGTCATATCAGAGATACCCACACGGTAGGCACTTACTACTCAAGTCTTATTACTCAAGTCTTATATCGTTACTTATTATTGTACTTTTTACACACTCACACACACATACATACGCACGCACATTTTTGTGGTTGCATAAAAAAAATATGTCATCGCTTCGAATGCTTAACTTGCAGGACATCTCCCATATTTATTTCACCGGTGATCTGGTAGATCATGGTGTTTGGGAGACGACCTTGGAAGGGAATATACAAATAATCAATGATAGTTATCTTCTATTTCAAGAGACATTCGGAAATGTGCCCGTGTATCCTACTTTGGGCAATCACGAGTCGCAACCTCTAAATCAGTGAGTCATTAAATCGTCATTAAAGCGCAGATATATCCTTTTACTCGGCAACTATCTATTACATGGCCTGGCATCTTGCGAGTAATTCACTTCGTGAAATTTAGATACGCTCCTACAACCGTCACCAATGACGAAATAAACACGCAATGGCTATATAAAATGACGGCTGACTTGTGGATCGGCTTAGGATGGTTACCGGAATCTACTCGTTCTACTATTCTACAGGGTGGCTACTACACGGTTTCGCCTAAAAAAGGATTCAGAATTATAGCTCTGAACAACAACGTATGTTACTGCTACAATTGGTAAGTAGTACAACTGCTGTTCTGCAATACTAATCCTTTCCCTGGCTATATTATGCCGCACCCCTTTTTTTTCGTTTTTTGTTTATCTTTTTCTCCCTTCCTCTTAGAAACTTGTATAAGGTGGGTCAAAAGTCTGAATATAGTCAAATATCTTGTAAACGGTGCAATTTTGAGGAAAAAAATGTTTTATGTAAAAGTTGTAAGGTTTAAAAAGATCTATTTGTTAATCTCATCAGTTTGACCTTGCGTGGAGACGTCAAAGTCAAATAAAAGTTGTAAAATAAACGCGTTCCGCTGAATGTGGTCATTATCTTGCGCAATTTCCAGGTGGATATGGTATCAGCCAAAAGATCCTGATAACCAATTGCAGTGGTTAGCGGACACGCTTTTGCAAGCTGAAAAGGATAACGAATTTGTACATATATTAGGTCATGTTCCGGCCGCTAATGAAGAATGTCAGTCTACATGGAAGAGAGAATATCTCAAAATTATCAACAGATTCGCCCACATTGTTAGGGCGCAATTCAATGGTCACACACATAACGACGAATTGGAGCTGTTCTACAGCAGTGGTGAAAACAAGAAGGTCAATAACGTCGCTTGGAACGGAGGTAGTGTGACCGCTTTCACCGAATTAAATTCCAACTACAAGCTGTACATCGTCGACAGTGAGAATTATGTGAGTGTTGTCTCGTTAAAATGTGTAGAAAATTCAAATTCACGAGAGCTGCGCATATACGGGACCTGTTAATACACAAATCCTGTTATTCTTCTTACAGGGGGTAAAGGATTATGATAACTGGATATTTAATTTAACCTTAGCGAATGAAAATATTAACGAACGACCGCAGTGGTATAAGTCGTATTCGTTCAAAGAAGAGTACGGCATTTCCGACTTGTCTTACGACTCGTTAAGTGATTGGTACTCCAGATTATCACGCGATAATGAACTGTTAACCCGCTATTACAGGTAACGTACAGAGATCTGGAAGATATCTCGTCTGCTAAATATTTTGTCTTGCCGATTGACATGATTTGTAATAATTGATTCAGGCATTTTTTCAAACTTGCTGACCCGTCACTGAGAAAGGAATGCGATGTAACGTGCATGAGGACTTATATGTGTCGTATAATCGCAAGCCTAGAAACACCTTGTACGTAGATGTTAAGAAACTAGTATAAAATTTTATGTAAAAACTGGAGATTATAAAATTCACAATGTGATTAATTTTACTCGATGACATAATTGCGATATAATAATTACAAAAGTATTTGTAGAAAAATGTGATGAAAACAATATTATGGGAAAGTAATATATATATATTCTATATTTATTACTACATTTTTTTACAGCAATACTTTACGTAGAACCATCATTGTAATAAATAAGTACGTATTCCAAAGTACCCTTCACGGTTCTATTCATTATATCCTCTTATTAATGTTTGCATAAACTTTTTATATCTACTAACTTAAAATCAGCTTTCTTTAAAATCTCTACGGTTGGTATGTTGTCGAGTATGGAAATCTGAAATATTAATTGCAAATGAAACGAAGAATGCCTTTGTTAACTTACAGTTAAAAGATTTGCAGTAAATTACATTGATTTGCATCAACAGTGGAATAAAATATTAAATGTGTTATTATGCATTATACTAAAATACAAAACTTACTTGTATCCTAACATAATTGATAAGTAATTCGACATGTTCTGGATCATTGCATTCGAAACAAAAGAATCTTCTCCATAATGCTCCTGCTAATACTTTGTCATCAGATAATATACCCTCATCATATCCTATTATAGCAGCATTAAATTGATGCGATAATAAGATTATCTCTTTGCCTTTAATATTAGTAGATATTACCTGCAAGGATAATAATATTTAGCACAAAAACAAAAAATTAGCTGATGAAGAATTATGATGAAAAAAAATATATATACGCGAGAGTCAATTGAAAAGTTTGGTCTGACCAAAAAAGAGCAAGATTATATGTATGTATGTGCGCGCGCGCATGCACGCGCGCATACACACACATACATATCTGTGTATATATACATATAGAAATATTTTGTATAATTATTTGATAAAATATATTAAACTTAAAATATTAAAATAAATTAAAAAATATTAATAAGATTCAAATTTTAATTGATTAAAATTGACTCTATCTGCCTGTTAAATTTATTTATTAAATTTAAAATTATTAAAACACTTTAATATTTTATTAAAGATATATTTCTTACACCCAGTTTTTCCGTTCTAGCTTTTGTATCATCCCACATTGCTGTTACTATTTCGTTCCTAATGAATTGTCCATCTTTTCCTTCTGCCATATAACGAACCATTAACATCCATACATGAAGTTCTGTCACCAGAAACCATGAGAATAACGTGTCTGGCATGTTAAAATCTGTCAAAGAGACATTCATATTGTATGCTAGGAAATTAGAATTATATTACAGCTACTTTAATATATAAAAAATATGTAAAACACTGACTTTTTTAGTACTATATTAAAATCATATATATGTGAATATTTGAAATTTTGTTATATATTTAACTAGTTCAATATGTCTCAATGATAACAAAAAAATATATATATAAAACAAAATATTTTATAATAACAGAGGAAACTTACGTTTATAAAAGAAACTATAATCTACTTGACGTAATATATGTTCATACGCGTAACAAGCAAGCACCATATATCTCTGTAATTAATATTTTAACGTTAACATTGCGCAAACTTAGAACATTCCTAACATTGTAAAGGAGAATGTACCATACACAATATATATTTAACTGCAAATATAAAAATATATACTCTTTTGTAAGTTTTGATATGTGAATTTCTAATTACATATTTTTGTAGATCCATGAAACCGATCTTTTTTAACAACCTCTTTCCAAGTCCCATTTGTAAGTTTGAAGATATAGGTACAGTCGATGGAGATGAGTTATCATAACGCGCAAATGTCATGTGGATACTTTTAGAATTCAGTATTGTGGAAGCTGGTAGTAGCCTGGCAGTGCTGAGAATTCCATGAGTTTGAAGTGTCCTTTGCATTAATGGTAACATCGTATTCTGAAACACATATTACTAGTAGGTTATATGTAAAACAGTAGAACAAGTTTGCAAATAATCTTAAGTTAAGAATCATAAGTATAAAACAGACGCACCAAAGTGCATCGTTATTGAGGTTATATCACTAGTAAGAAACTCAGTGGACGAGTACCTTTAACGAGGTAATTATGCGAGCACGTTGCATGATGAACATTTTTACATAAATATTCTACTTATGTTTGCCGACATGAGAAACGGTTTATAATATAAAGTAGAGGAGAATTGTTAAGTATATGGACACCACTAAAGTGCTGCCCGTCAAACTTTTGCCAAACGGTAAACGAAAGAAGCTGTATAGAAAATGGAAGTCAAACAGCGGGACTCATAGTATATTTTCATTTAAGAAGGTTGGAACGTTTGACCAAATATAAGTCTGTAATATATACGATGATACACAAGTTAATCGAACTAACAATGCGTAACAGAAATTTCAACCATCTTTATCGTATTGTTTCCGAGATATTTAATTATAAACTTATGTGCTCAAAAGCGTAAAAACCTCCTAAAATACTAAGTTTCTTCTAATTTGACATACTTGTGTATAATATTTATAAATATTTATAAATTAATATTTATAAATTGTGTAAATATATGTTGACATATTTGTGTATAAGGTGGAAGTTTAAAAAACTATTATAATATTAAAGATTCATATACAGATATAGATAAATTTCAGAATTGACCGTTTTGTTTTGAAAATATAATAGTGGAAAGTTTATAATTTATAGTAATATTCAATATATATATATATATATATATTCGATAGCATGCGTTTATTATAGTTAAAAAATTATAATGGAAATATACGCATAAATGTGTATATATTCATAATATAATAAAAGTATATATGTACGATATGTGTATTCTCATGTATATACGCGATATTAACTAAACAATATGTTGAATAGATATAAAGTTATATAAAAAGAGATGAAACGCTATCCATCGTAGTGTATCGATTAAACACTTAAAAGCCGGTATTCACAGTCGAATCTTATATTTGAGACCGTCTTAAATTCATTTTCAAATGCTGTACCGTTCATTTCATTGGCTACGAAAAATCTAAAGATGAACTGAAGATGAAACAGTCTTAAATATGAGATTCGACTATAAATATTGGCCTAGATATTAAGTCAGCGGCACATAGTGCTTATTTTCGGATTGCNCGGAGCCTCAAAAAAGTTCCGAGGCGTAGCGTTTTTAATTTCGTTATCTTTCGCTTGACGCGTTGACGTTTAGATTATGCCGCTTTAATCATATACGATATAAGTGTTTGTTAATAATTTGCGTTCTCCTTGAGTTCGGTGCTCGCTTTAACAATTATTATAATTCATAAAAGGCATGAGGAATCTTGATGATTCTGTTGATTGTAATTTATGAAAATATGATGAGCTCTCACGGTTTCATCGGCAAATTTGTGAAATTGCAGTAGCCCAGTTAAGATAATAATACTCGCGTTTGATTTATATTATATGTTTTACAGTAATCATGAAGCTTCCAAGAATGATTATTAAATCTAGCGCCTATTAAAAAGAACGTTTCTTAAAACGATTTCCTGTTAGAGCGATACACAGGGGAAAATATATTCTAACGGAACATAATCATTGGCGCGTTCATTGAGGCTCTTCACCAATCTAGTGCATCCAGAGCGTCGGACTTATCATAGTGATATGTCCCTGAAAAATTGTGGACGTGCAGTCATTTTAGCTGCGAGTGTCGATCTGTTGTAGGACGAGAAAAACTATAGAAGCAATCACGAAAACGCATCGTCAGCATTATTATTTATGATGTCATGTTATCAGTATTGGTAGTGAATATCGGAATGCGCCCTCCGATATCGTAGTGTATCGATTAAACACTTAAAAGCCGGTATTCACAGTCGAATCTTATATTTGAGACCGTCTTAAATTCATTTTCAAATGCTGTACCGTTCATTTCATTGGCTACGAAAAATCTAAAGATGAACTGAAGATGAAACAGTCTTAAATATGAGATTCGACTATAAATATTGGCCTAGATATTAAGTCAGCGGCACATAGTGCTTATTTTCGGATTGCTTACTGAGCAGAAAGTGCTAGTTCTGATTACATTTCCGAAATTGGATAGAAATACACCAATCAAAACGCCGTATTTCCATCCAGCAAATAATTTGGCACGAATGCAAGCATCGTGTGCCGTTTGCTTAAAATTTCTTCAACGTGGTCTATAATGAGCAGTAGAAGTATATGTGGAAGAAGAGTAAGAAATTAACCAATCATTCGATTATTCTCCTAACATTCAAATATGATTGGTCAATTTCTTATTCTTACTTCTTATGAACATACTCCTACTGCCTACTGTAAACTATACTTTCGCTGTTCGCACATGGACTCGCGTATTATTCCTCGAATCTGTTAAAGCCGTTTATACTTTCGCGACATCGATTAAATTAGAGAAATGAATATTGATCTTGACGATGTAAAATGAAAGAGAGACATGCTCGTTAATCTCACCTTTGGAACGTAATTTTCTTTCGAAAAAAAAAAATTACATTTTTGTGGATTTTTCGGATACCGTATAACCGTTTGCCATAGATAAGTCGCAAAACACTATATATTAATAATTGTAGGTTGTAAACTATAGATTAATAATTGTTTCCGCAGGTGTAATAGTTGGATTTATCTAGGTAAGATTTATTATATCATTATGTATTTTCTATAAATTATGTGACCCAGATTCAATGCATTTGATAAATATCAAAATCATATTAGAAATCTTTTTTTTTCTTAGGAATATTTTTTTCAAGTAATATAAATGTATATTTATAAACATGTGTAGACATATACCTATATGTATATAATAAAAAATATATAGTATATTATATACAATTAGTAATATGGAAAAAAAATATATATATGTGTGAATATTGTTAGAGCATTTGAATATGTTCCAATAATTAACCAATTACTCATATCCATGATTTCTTAACTTAATTGACTAATAATTTTTTTTAATCAAATGCATCACAGAGAATACTTCAAGTTACAATTGTAAAGATTCCTAAAGAACTTTGGAGACTTTATATATTGGTCGAAACATGGCTTTAGAGAAAATCAAATCTATGCAGGCAGAGGCTAAAAGCAAGAAGAAAAATGGCAAACTTGGGAAAGAGAAGCCTCCTAGAAGAAATACAAATAATATAATTAATCCTGACTTATCAAACTTGCGTAAACCAACTGATACAAGTGTATCTACTTTGTATCACATCAGCAAGCTGCTTGAGAATAGTACAGAGGAGGTCAAATCCATATTATCCTATGAATGTGATATTATTTATGAATGTCGTATTTGTCGCAGCTTATTTAGAAGCATTGTGAATTTAATATCACATAAAAGAGAATACTGTAGAGAAAAGTTCGATATTACAATTCATGGAAACATGTGGGGTGATTTTAATACGGTAAGCAGAATATAATTGCTTATATTATCAATATTGTAATTTGCCTCAGTTATAAGGATATTTTTTTCAGATATCTGCTATTGGCTCAGTAATCCATACATATCAGACAGAACAAACAATGATTAAAAACAATCTTACAAATGACAGAATACTTAGAAGCCAAGTACCCAAAGAAACACGTAAAAAAGATCTCAGTGCAGTAATAGATACGCTTATTAAAAAGCAAGAAGAAAAAATATTAAATAACTTTTCTAGTGAATCAAAACTTGAAAGCAACATCATTGGTGCTTCGAATAATCAACATATTTATTTGAAAGCTATAAGTACAAATGATTCTGCAGTGTATCAAGAAATCAAATCATCAAACACAGTAGCTGGCGTTACCGACTTATTAGCAAAAGAAGTAAGAATTAAATTAATCAGTTATAATATGTTAAATCTTCTTCAGTTTACACACACACATACATATATATATACAGAGTTGTATGTCTACTAAGTGTCTTGTTCAACAAATATTTGTAGTTTAGGTCAATATGAACAAAAAGTTCTGTATCATTTTCCAAATAACTATGAAAAAATCTTGAGTTCTTAATGATTGAAAATGATTGAAAATAGAATTAAACTATGTAAATAAACTAACCATATGATGGATGAGACGCATAGAGTGATCTACACCCTGGCTATGTATTCATTAATTTGCTTAGAAGTATATTATATAGAATAATGTAATACAATTATGATGATTTTAACATTATATTTTTTCGGCTTTCAGGTAGTGGATCTCCAAAATAATAATAGTACTATATTAGAAGGATATGTATATGAAAATCAATTAGAAAAGAATGATGATCCTATTCAAGCTGATATAAGTGAAGATGATAAATCATCACCAGATAGTTTGGTCTGCACTAAATGTAAATCAACTTTATTTCTTATTTCCTTAATATTCAACGTTGATTTATTTATAACAAAGAAAGAGAGAGGAAGAAAGAAACAAAGGAGATCAAATGTACTAAAGCTATTAATGTCCAAAGATTAATCAGAGAATTTTTAGATTAAGTAATTCAATGAAGTTCGAATGTTATTATCCTCTATGATAAATGCTAGGCCTGCAATAATCTATTATAATCTAACGTTTTTCTGTACGTTGTTCAATACAATTACAAAATATCCGATATATCTGAGATATTTTTGTTTTGTGATTGCAGGTAATGCTAAGTTTTCAACGAAGAAAATGTTAACTTTCCACGTGAAAACGATGCATACATCTCAGCGCGTGTGTTATACCTGTCCTTGCTGCACGAATACGTTTGCAAGTACGTGGAGTGTTCACCTACATTTGTTCAAAGGTACGCCTCGAGCATGCGTTATTCTCTCGCAGAAATTTAGCGTTATTCGCAAACAGCATTTCTCAGAATACTTCTAAAGATATTTCGAATAATCCGTCACTGATTTTCCGAATATAGTTCATAAGATGAATACCGAACAAGTACGTAAGTTAAGACGGCAAATTCAAGAGATAAAACTCGACAGAGAAGCAACCGCGATGCAGGGTTTAAAGAACGAAAAGCGTCGCGCAAACAAGGTATCCGCTTTGAAAAAACCGAAGCATAATAACGTTCTCGGAAGTGCTCTCGATATAACACAGGTAAAGTTAAGTAAATTGCTCCCCGATGGTCTGTCATCGTATAATGAGAGTACAGCTGAAATGACTAATTGTATTTTTTGCAGGAGATATTCCTCCCGGAATCCGATGTGAAAGACTGGAGTTGTAACCAATGTGGGGAAAAGTTTAATACAGAAGTAGTTTTGTCCGCTCATTCGATGCATTGCCTAGCATCGATCGCTACGTCGTGCAACGAAGTTACAACTAAAATCATCCAGTCTGATGGAGCTTCATCGGACTTAGTACTTAACAATAATACATTGCGTGAGTTGAGAGACACCGATGCAGCGACCGACATGAATGTCAAGTCGACTACCGCGAAAGATACATCGAATGCTAACTCCGAATGTATGTCATCATCGTCTTCCGAAATAATCGGCGAGTGTCACGAAACAACCATTTGTATTCAAGATATTTCTACTCTCAGCAAAGAAGGATGGGATACGTTAGAGTGCCATAGTAAAGATTCGCTTGAACGCAATTCCGCAGCTAATAATAACGTTCTTGCAACAGTCGCATCGTCGGCGAACCGTCAGAATACCGATGATAGTGAGGTACTGACCATTAAGCCCAATGATAATTCACAGTCTCCCGAAATTATACACCAAGATACAAGCGAAACTAGCTCTGCGGATTTAGAGATCATACGCGAGAAAGGTAGTACGCTGAGTCGCAGCAATAAAAAGCGGACGATTGTTTCGAAAAGTGAGGGGAAAAGTAATATATTACGATAATGATTGTTCCCAGCAAGCAAGAAACATTGAATCAATCTTTTGGAACATTAGTTTTATGTGAATTTTATCAACGTATTTTGACATGATAATTTAGAAGTAATATTTTATAATGTTTCTACACTGTTATCTGATGATATAATATTCCGAGATATTAAAATATTAGTGTTGAGATTTTTACTTTTAACATTTGGGTCACAAATGTTAACAATGACATTATGTACAACATTAAGACTACACATTTGAAAACGTTACATGTTATCAAATATTGTAATAATGATTTCCTGCTTATTGGGTTATCATAATAAATTATTGTTTGTGGTAAAAAAAAAAAAACGCGTTAGCAGACTAATTTGACGTATATTATATATTAAGCACGCACCGGTTTAAGCCAATTAATTTTCTATGTAACAATTTATATGATTCCAGACAAGTTTATCATCGAATTGCAGCAGGACGGTTCTAAATTGCAGCCTTCGCGCTCGACACGGCGGAATGGAACCAAGCAGGCTTTGTCAATTGAGAGTAAGATAGCTGCGATCACTAATGTGCACAAACTACAGTGCCTTTTGTGTAAACGAAAGTTCCCGTCGATGACTAATTTACGCAGACATTTGGCGATTCATCTCAAGTGGTATCGATATCGCTGCAAGCTGTGCGATTTCAAGTACTTCCTCAAGTGCGGTTGCGTCGCGCACTACAACAAGATGCACAACGCGCAAAATAATCGCGCCTTCACAGCGGAAGTAGTGGTCAAGATTCCGCAGAATAAATATAGGTGCAACGAAGATGTCGTCACGGACGTGACGAACATGAAGAAGGAGTTAAGTAAGCCGGATATCGCGGAGAGAACCGCGTCGTCCTTCCGGCCGGATCTATGCGAAGACTCGGGCGCTTCGAGCGATGCTAATACGAGCGTCGCTGTACAAAGTGAGGAAGTTACCACGACGAAGGAGCGAGTCGCGGAGTCGCACGAGAATGACTCGATAGTTCAACGTGAAAATGTCCCTACAGGGGATACCAATGAAACTACGGTGATCTGTACGAATCTGGAGGAATACATGGCGAATCGTACGAGAAAATTAAACATTCATCCTGATCTCAAGCGGATCGTAATGGAGATGATACTTGGTTCGAGTGACACGGACGACACGGCCAAACAGGCAGATTCGGAGAAGAGGGTGCCAGAAGAGGAAAAGGGACCCAGTGACAAAGCAGGAAGAGATATGCACGCAAATGACAATGAAAATAGCAATGCATCTACTGACAATAGCAGGGTAACATGTTCGTTAACAGATGATTCGAAGCCTCAACGTCCTATGCGCAAACGGATAAAGCCTTTGAGCGAGGATTTCATATACGACTTGAAGGATATTCCGGAAAGACCAGTTCGGAAGGGTCCTTACAAAGGCTCGTCATTTCAACTCGGCAAATCAGCGGCGAAGCATCATTCGTGCAACTCTGATAGCTTGACGAACACACGAAAGAAAGCTAAATTGTTCAAAGCGGTTCACTCTAACTGATGATTATTATTTAGTAATAATGAGTCGTCTAGTTACTTTCAAAAATGCAAAAAGTGTAATAACTAAGACTACATATCAGCTATTTGACAGTTTAATCTAAAAAATAAGAAAAAAAATAGAAGTGTTTATTTGTTGGGAAAATTGTGAAGATCAGTAAGTGTATGTAAATTAATTTTTATAGAAATAAAATAATTTTGATTAAACGGCATATTAACGGGTGATTTGAGCGTGAAATGTAATAATTGATGTAAAGCAATATTGCATTCCCGGAAAAAAATTTCTATTATGTATGTATGTATGTATGTATATATGCATATGTGTGTGAACATATTCAATATATATATGACACTTTATGTATTAATTATATACTATTATATACAGGATATTCTAGACTAACAAAGACAAACTTTGTGAGGGTATAGAACGGATTGAGGTAAACAAAAAAGTCTACCATTTTGCAAACAACATGCAAAATTTGGAGTTATTAATTATCGAAAATGGTCATGTATAGAGTCTTTTTTAATTAATAACTCAAAAATTTGCGTGTTGTTTGCAAAAAGGGAGAAGGCTTTTTTGTTCACCTCACTCTGTTCTATATTCTCACGAAGTTTGCCCCTGTTGGTCTGGAACACCCTGTATAATTATATCTAATTATATATGGAAAATTTTTTCCCGGGTTCTCACGTGAATTATACACAGTAAAAAACGGTGACACACAATTTTATATAATAGTCCACTCAAATGATTGTGTTTAACATGGTGATATGTTAAAAAGTAATACAATACTAAGGTAAATATGTTAATTTAACATATATTTATGTACTTTATAACATATTCCCAAACTAAAGTAACACAGAAACTTAAGTGGACCTCTATTAACAATTTTTTACTATGTAATAATAAATTATATAGTGTTGTACGCGCACGTATATTTTATGTGCTTTGTCCTCAAATTCTCTGATTAATTTTCCACTGTTTTAATTAAAAAGTACCAAATATTTGAAGCTATCTACATATTATGCGTATATTGAAGACCTGCATATCATGAAATGTATTTTCTTAAACGCATAAATATTTAGACTTTCAAATTTGATTTGATCCAAATATAGATCTGATCCAAATTATTGGTGTCCATTTTCTGCCTCAAGAATTTGAATTGAATTTCGCCCACCATCGTGTAACTGAGAAACGTGTCCCGATATATTCCAGATTCGACATTTGATCTCGATTTTTAATATTTAATTTTGAAATATCTTTAACACGTATTTTCCACGAAATCTTTCAATTTGATCTACAGGTACTATACCGATAGAAGTCCGACCAATGATCGCGCTTGATAATTCTATTTGCAAAACATAACATCTGCATCAATTGGAACCGACACTTTCCATTTAAAACTTTCATTACTTTCTTCATGAATCTTTCTTCCGAGGTACAAACGCGCGACATTGGAGGCAGGGAAGCTGCAAAAATCGCAGGAGCGAAAGGAAAAGAGAAGAAAAAAAGGACAGACCTACGAGACAGACGTATGAGCACGAACGAACGGCATCGGCAAGACGCCCGCACGCCAGCGTGCGCGCGGACGAGGGCGCGGATTGGCCGGCGGCCGGGCGGTGCACACGTCGCTGCATTGCGCGGCGCCCTTCCTGCGTGATGTTGCACTGCGCCGCGATCCGAACTGCCGCTCTCTCTACTCGATTGAGCCGCGAACTGCGATTGCTCGCGGACGCTAGCAGACGCGCGGCAAACGGCGCCGAGCAAGTTGGCTTTTATTCGCCCGGCCACTCGGTGAGGAGCCGTGCTCTCGCGACGGGACAGTCTGGTAGCCGCGGTCGTGAATCTTTTACGAGCGCGTCGTGACCGTCTACGTCGTCGTGATAGCAGCAGCGCGTTACGTCTCTCTTACTTTCAGTGCTAAATTGTGTGTCCCGCTCTGCTGCGTGTGTCTTGTGCGGACGACCTTGCCCTCAGCCAGCTGCCGGAGCGAGGAGCATCCCAGAGAAACACATCGTAAAACGTAAGTTGAAGAGATGAGAGTGTGGGAGTGAGAAAGAAAGAGAGAGAGAGAGAGAGAAACAGGAGAGAAAGAAAAAGAGAGAAAGCTAGAGGGCGAAAAGAGTGCGTACGTGTGAATGAGCTAACGAGAAAGAGGGGAAAGGGGGGGAGGGACAATGGCTCGAGTTTTCTCACGATGAAGGGATAGACACTCCGGAGTGCCGCCCCGATAACCCCGAGAGTACGTGCGATAGTTATTTACGAAAGCGGCGTCGGATCGTCGTGTCAGGCGCAGCTTTCCGGGCAGCGTCGAGAGGAAACGTCGTCGTACGTACGCGCGCCGACGGGCGGAAGATGAAACCCCCCCTCGATATGAAACCCTGCTGCGTGCAACCTCGCCTTCGCTCTCGACGACGCTTTGCGTCTTACCCGCGCGAAAGATACGCGCACCCGCTTCGCTTTTTATATGTGTAGATATATACGTACGATAATCGCACATCTTTGCGAGAGGATTCGGGATACTCTACTCCGGAAACTCGATCGCCCATAACACGAAAAGGGACCACGAGATCGCGATGTTTCGAGATCGCATCGGATGTTCCTCTCTCGTTCTCTCCCCTTTCTCCCTCTCTCTCACTCTCTCCCTCTTTCTCTCTTCGCTCTCTCCTCTTTGCCTCCCCCTGCCTCCCTCCCTCCCGCTCGCTCTCCCTCTGAACCCCGAACCCGCTGAGGTCGCGAGTTGGCAACACGAATGGAGCAGGCGCGAGCACCCGTGTGTCTCACGAACGAAGCCCCCTGAAATTGATACTTCCGCGCAATCACGGCGGCTCCTCCTCGAGCGATGGCTTATACGCAATTAATGCCTCGTACCACTTGTTGCTGTTACTACCTGTAGTCCATGACAGCGAATGCACTCGACCCAGAAGCGATCGCCGCGGCTGCCGCTCCGTCGCTGCTGCGCGGAGTGTCGCTCGAAGAACAATACCCGTGTAACGCGGAATACGTACCCTATACACGCAACCATCGTCCATCGGCAATCATTATCCAGGACGACAGAGAGAGCGAGAGGAGAGAATCGTATTCTCTCCTCTTGCCTTCGTTGTCCCTGTCATCGCCGGTCTTACGTTGCCGAGAGACGCGACAAGCGGTGACACGTCTCGGCGAGAAGTCGCAGATGCTTGCGAGAACAACCGATTAAAGCTGGCCTATACACCGAGCGAACGAACGAGAAACGAATGGCGAACCTTCGTGATTACAATTTGCTAAATGTGTATGCCAAGTAACGAATTCGAACAGAACTTTTCGGGCTGATTTGCTCTTAAGGTGGTTTATCAAAGTTCATTGTGCATTTAGACGCGAATATGTTACACGGAAACAAGTTAGTCTTAAATCAAGGATAGATATTTTCATGTGCAGGGTATACTAGAATTTAATAAAATGTTTCGGGCCGATTTGTTCATCAAGTTTCACGTTTCAAGGAAAATTTGTTCACGTTTAGACGCTAATATATATCCATATTACACATTCGCTCTTTGTTCGTTTTTCGTTCGCTCAGTGTGTACCCAGCTTTAACGAGCTCGCTACGCGAACGAGGGCATTTTGTTGCGAACGATGGTTAATGATGGGCTTTCGAGACGCATCGAGTCCTTTCACATGTCGAAAGTGTCATCGTCTCGGTTTATCTCCGATGTTATCTGGAACCGACGAATTTCTTCCGAAAATTTTGCGAGTCGGTTGTTGTCGCGATATGTAACTCGAATCCAAATTTTGCTTCTACTCGATCCTGCGAATTCCGTTGAACTTAAAGGACCAATGTAGCACTTCAAGATAGAATACTATATATGTGCTATTGGCCTACCTTGATGCTGCGAATGGTTGCTTACTGCCGCTTTCTCCGCGTTGAAGAAGTCCGATGATGCACTCGTGCTCGTTCAAGATTTATTTGATACTCGGTTATTCTTCACTACTCTGCCTGCGTTTCAATTGCTGCTTTTTCAATTTTAGTCGAGAATATATTAATCATTTAAATTATTCAGCTGCAAATAGAATATGTGAGGAAAGCAAATATTATTAATAAGCAAATATTAATCTAATAAAGGTCAATTAGTGAGAGGAACAACACATTTTTATTCTCATAATCTCTCTTTCTTCTTCTTTTGATGTTGTAAGTCTCGATGGGATGTGAAGCTTTTAAAAGAAATGATAAGAAAGAAATTGTAAAGACAGCGATAATGGTTATGTGTCCAATAATACTGTTTACTAATAAAGATTTAAGTTTAGATATCGTACTATAACAAGGCTAAATGGAAATTAAAAGAAAGCATTGACAGATATAAACAAGATCACACTCATTGCCCAAGGAGCATTATTAGACGTGAAAATTGGCACTAGTAAAAGTTACATTACATTCTAAAAGCCAGTATCACAGTTCGCAGTTGTGAATTATTTAGGAACTTTGAGAGAATAATTAATTACAAATTTATACGTATAGCCGATTATCGTTATTCGATTATCTATTTTTTCTGTTGTATGAAACAAGTGCAGGTAGAGGTTATTTTATAAACTACATTTTTAAGATCATTTTATAAAGAGGAGTTTATATTAACATATATGTTCATTCCTTAATCAAATTATTTCAACAAATCAGCTCTTAAAATGTTGGACGGTACTTAAGGAACACCCTATATATTTACTTATTTGTTACTTATAGCATGAAATTCGTTGAATTATTTTCCTCCGTGTGCGTTTTGTCTTTGCTTCTCCACGGTTCCGGACACTCATTTACTCACTCACTCACTGACATTCGCGTAGATTCGATTGGAGAAACGCGCACTAATGCGACGAGCCGACGAGAGTCTAATCGAGTATTTCAAAACCCGATGAAACATTTCGATCAACCGGTAATGATAATTAACGATGATTAACCGACACATTTCGCGGATTATACCGTAGATTTACGTCTACATAGATAATATATGTGATATTTACATGGACTTTTTTTATGCAGACAATGTAAGCTATTATAAATTACATAGCACAGTGCAAAGAGAGAGGATAAATTACCAGATTAAAAATTAGTTTAAACTATAAAATAGTTCATGTGTATCCGATCTTCGCGTTAATTATGAAGATATTTAATATTAAAAATTGTAAAAAGTTGGCATATATATATGCGGAAATTTTATAACAGAAATTTTATCATTTAAATTCATCCATGGATTTTTAAACGGAAAAAGGCAATGTTCCGTAGTTCTTGATTACAATAGGCATAATATGCATAATACTTATTGTCCTTTTTTATCAGTGTGATATCAAGTTTGTCGAACCCACTATTAATTTTCCATGGCATCGTAAATTACTAAAATTGTGCCGTTATGTTTAAACCAAATAATTTAAATCCAATGTTTAACACGTTATATTAGTTTAGGTTAAATATCCAGTTTACGCATATTCAATGTGTAAATATACACAATTTTACAAATGTTATTAATATACAAATATTATTATTCAGGTTTACTTGTGATTTGTAGCTGTTAACAGAAATAAATATAAAAATAGGATTTACGAAATGTAAGAAGAAGATGAGCCGTTCCGTAACGGATCACAGATTATTTATTGTCTGCGTTCAGCAGAGAAAATAACTCAGTGGGCGCTTAATGTTTATTGCTCCTGATTGGTATATTCTCACGGATCTGTCGAGAGTCTAGAAGAATACGCTCCAGTCACAGATGAACTCACTAAGCGTCCATTAAGCTTCTTTCTCTACTGAACACAGCCATTGTCTACACATAGATAACATACATATATAGTTTACATCGTCTATGTTTAGACTATTTTATTTTACGCGGAAACGCCCAACCCTGCTCCGCGGTATGCGTGTCGCTCACCCGTCCGGAACATATTGGAACCTCCCGGGGATAAGCTCGGAACATTTTCGGGAGTGTTGATTGTTGCGATCGCTCGGCCGCTCGGTGACAGGCCACGACATAGGCTTTTTCTGCACATTGTTTTAACACTTCTGTGCGTCTGGTGTTTTCTCACGCGAGCGAACGGATAGTCGTTGCGTCTCTCGAGGAGCGACAGACGGATCCGCGACGCGGAGAGCACGTGTCGCACCGGTGTGTGTTTACAATTCGCCCGATCGTTGGACGACTCAAGTATTTCGTGGACTGTCGAAATATTTGATCGGGCTTTTGTAGGTATCGCGTCAGTTGACACATACGTTTTCTTCGATCGCTCGATCGGACCCTCCACGTGAGTATCGGTGTCAGTGAGTGCCCGGAAGCCTCGGAACGGGATATTAAATTGGGGAGGGCGCGAGACGCCGGGCAAAGACACATCATTTATCTCCAGGTGCGTGGAGTCATTTATTACACGTGTTTCTCCGCGTTTAATGGATATTCGATGAATCTGCCGGGGATATGGAGACAGCCGAGTCGAAGTTTTTCAGTCGGGCATTCCGTCGACAGCCCGTCATCGTTTGACAAATAATTGAAGAGTGAGTCTCAAGATTCTTCCTCTTTTTCTTTTCTCCTGCCGCAATTTCTTCCTCAGATTCTTCTCTCTTTGGTTCCTCGAGTTCGATGGAATTCGCAGGATTGATGTAGAAGCAACATTTTAACCCGGGAACTCATACAAGTTTGTGTAGACATTCAAGACACATTTGAGACTTCCGAGTCTTTCAAGATTTTCCAAGACTCTCAAGAGCTCTCTCTCTCTCTCTCTTTCTCCCTCCCTCCCTTCCTCCCTCTCCCTCTCTCTTTTTCTTTCCTTTCAAGTAGTTATTATATTTTTCATATACACATGCTTGTGTTAATATCGTATACGGATAAAAGCGGACCTACTCCGGTTCCCGTTAGCAAGTGGCAAGTAGGAGTCGACTCTCGATGGGTTCTCGTTCCTAAGCTGAACCTATCCACGACCGCGTGCGTCGTCGAAATGTAAATATTCGAGACACGTTCTCGGCTCTAAGTGGAAGCGTCATGACCTAGAATAGACATAATTAACTTACGGCGTGTATTT